CTCCTGTTCTCCACTTGCAGAGAACTCATCAGATACATTTCACCCTTTTTTGGGCTTAGACGCATTTCACCCTTTATGGACTTAATGGCTAAGTAGTTTTCTACAGGTGGAGAACAGGAGCTGAAGCCATAGTTTACTCATCTCATTAATTTTTATACAACAGGGAGTTGGTGTCTGTGTGCAGATGGTCACCATTTTGTTGAAGTCTACTAGAGCCTGACAAGCCAATCCTGTCTTTCTTGCACCAGTCACATGCTGCTATGACTGACATAGGTTTGGGGGGCATCTGAGCGGTACCATTTTTTTTTTTTTTTTTTTTTTTTTTTTTGTACCATAAACCTGTTTAGATCTACCAACAACTATGACGTGCAGGGACCTGCCTGATTGGGTAAAAAATGAACAGGCTGTTTAGGTAGGTCGTTACGTTTATGCAGTTTTGGTAGATCTAAAGGTGATTGTGTAATTCACATTGTAACATTGCCATCCTAAAGTTCAAATCTTTGCACTTTCAAAAAGATGCAGAAATGTGCTTACCTCATTTGAAATGTACTTGTTTTTCCTCCATAGGTAGTTAAGTTTTATTACAATCTTTTTGTAAAACCCTGCTGTCAGTGTCACAATGCTTCAGTTTCCAGAGATGGAAACTGGTAACTCCAGTCAACTCTGTGTAAGACTCTGCTGATTTGATGATGCCAACAATGTCCAAAGTAGGGCTGGTTAGGCACGGATAGCTGTGCCTCTCACCACCCAATTATATTTGTCCTGCACCTCTTTACCATGGAGCATTGCTGAGGTCTTAGCTGTCTTGATGCTGAACACATTGCAGTTGGTGTCCCTAACATGGTGCAAGATTGCTCAGACGATAGCTGCCAGTGTGGTTTCACCTACTGTGAAACTGCTGTGTTCTCCATTCAGTGGTTAATCCAATAGTCAAAACATGTCAAATGTGATGACTGTGCCCTATAGATAATCTAGACCAACCAACAAGAAATAGAAAAACTTCCATATACACAATCCTATAACCACAGCTGATCCGAAGAAGATAAAAAAAAAACATGATCCAGTTTGCTTCAGGGGAAAAAATACTCCTTTCTGATCCCCAGGAGGCAATCGCATATTCCATGGATCTTCTATCCCTGATCTTATTTGCTATTAATGTTAATATCCAGTTGTATGTTGTGCATTTAAGAAAGCATCCAGCTCCATTTTTAAAACCGCCTACTGAGCTGGGCAGAATTCGTTCTTGAAGGAGTCTATTCCACATTTTCACAGCCTTTATGTCTGGAGATTAACATGATAAATTTAACAGTCACATCCAGAAAGGCTTCTTCACAGTAAAGTGTGCCCACTTGTCCTCTGTAATGACCTGAAAGTGAACTCAAAATAAAGTCGCTATATGGACCACTTATGTGTATTTATACATAGTGATCATATACCCCATTAATTGCCTCTTCAAAGAGGGAATATATTCAGTTCCACTAATCTTTCCTCATAGCAGAGCTACTTCATGCCTCATATAATTTGTGTTCCCATTCTCTGCTCTTTTTACCAGTTCTTCGATATCCCTTTTTGTGAATAGGTGCCCAAAACTAAGCAGCAGATTGCCTACCCTTTGCATAATAGAGCTGCATACATAGATAGCAATGCCTCTTCCTGTCCAGGTCTGCCTATAGCTGCCCCAATCTATCCCTCTTTACAGCTCAGCATCTAAGATCTGTCTTGGAGCTAAATACATGATTGTTGGAAATTGAATATTAATCCTGACAGCCAGTAGTGCCTTCAAAATAAAATTGTTAGCCATTTCAGGGAAATTCTCTGCTCCTCTGTTACTGCCCATGTGCTGTTTTTTGGAAAAGGGATCTTAGAAAATCTGCAGGGTGTGCATATGTTAATAGGAAGTTAAAGTGGTTGTAAACCCTTACATACACCAAGTGAAGTGACTGGCCTCAGGTGATGCAGAGATTAAACAAATCCTCCTACAAAGTTGTACCTGTTTAGCTGTAGTCTTCTCTTCTATACAACTGTTTAGAGTACTGAATTTATTCAGCTTGTCAGAGTTTAGAAAAAAAGGGGGTGGGGAGCTGAAGTTACACTCTGATCAGTTCTCAGAGCTCTCCTTGCTGAGATCTGCAGAGAAAATTACCCACCACATCCAAAAAGCACTCAGGAACAGAGCTGAGACTGTCGATCTGCTTGAAGTCCCTCCCCATCACCTTTTTCTCTTGGTGTCAGAAAAACGTGAGTCCTCCAGGCACTCCGGTTTCCTCCCACACTCCAAAGACATGCTTGTAGGTTGTCTCCCGTCTAAATTGGCCCTAGTATGTCTATGTATGAATGTGAGTTAGGGACCTTAGATTGTACACCCCTTGAGGGTTAGGGACTGATGTGAATGTACAATATACAGTGGGGATTGAAAGTTTTGGCACCCCATCTAAATATTTGTATTAATGTGCATAAAGAGGCCAAGGAAAGATGGAAAAATCTCCAAAAGGCATCAAATTACAGATTAGACATTCTTATAATATGTCAACAAAAGTTAGATTTTATTTCCATCATTTACACTTTCAAAATAACAGAAAACAAAAAAATGGCGTCTGCAAACATTTGGGCACCCTGCAGAGTTAATATCTTGTACTGCCCCCTTTGGCAAGTATTACAGCTTGTAAACGCTTTTTGTAGCCAGCCAAGAGTCTTTCAATTCTTGTTTGAGGTATCTTAGCCCAGAAATCTCAAAGAACTGGAAGACTTTTGTGAGGAAGAATGGGCAGTCTGTCACGCACTACTCTTTTAAGGTCTATCCATAGATTTTCAATTATGTTGAGGTCATGAGATTGAGAAGGCCATGGCAAAACCTTCAGTTTACGCCTCTTGATGTAATCCCCATGGATTTCGAGGTGTGTTTAGGATCATTATCCATTTGTAGAAGCCATCCTCTCTTTAACTTCAGCTTTTTCACACATGGCATCAAGTTACCATCCAAAATTTGCTGAAATTTTATTGAATCCATTTTTCCTTCTACTCGTGAGATGTTCCCTGTGCCACTGGCTGAAACACAACCCCAAAGCATGATTGATCCAACCCCATGCTTAACAGTTGGACAGAGGTTCTTTTCATTAAATTCTGTGCCCCTTCTTCTCCAAACGTACCCTTGCTCATTCCGGCCAAAAAGTTCCATTTTAACCTCATTGGTCCACAGAACTTGTTTCCAAAATGCATCAGGCTTGTCTATATGTTCATTTACAAAGTTCAAACGATGATTTTTGTGGTGAGAACGTAGAAGAGGTTTTCTTCTGATGACTCTTCCATGAAGACCATATTTGTACAAGTATCTCTTTATAGTGGAATAGTGTACCACAACTCCAGTGTCTGCCAGATCTTTCTGGAGGGATCGTGCAGTCAAACGTGGGTTTTGAATTGTTTTTCTGACAATCCTGCGAGCTGTTCTGTCTGATATTTTTCTTGGTCTTCCAGATCTTGCTTTAACTTCCACTGTTCCTGAAGACTGCCATTTCTTAATTACATTCCTAACAGAGGATATTGACATCTGAAAACGCTTCTTATCTTCTTATAGCCTTCTCCGGCTTTGTGAGCGTCAACTATTTTCAGTTTCAGTTTTCTAGACAACTGCTTAGAAGAACCCATGGTGTTGATTGTTGGGGCAAGGTCAGATGAGTCTGGGCATTTAAAACCTTTGAGATTGACATCTCCTGGTCTTCTCAGACGATGATTGAGAACAATCCATGACACTGGCAGGTCTCAGCTTGGCAAAGGGGGCAGTGCATGCTATAAATTCTGCAGGGTGCCCAAACTTTTGCAGATGCCATTTTTTTTTGTTTTCTGTTATTTTGAAAGTGTAAATGATGGAAATAAAATCTAACTTTTTGTTGACATATTATAAGAATGTCTAATCTGTAATTTGATGCCTTTTTGGAGATTTTTTTCCATCTTTCCTTGGCTTCTTTATGCACATTAATACAAATTTTTAGCTGGGGTGCCCAAACTTTCGATCCCCACTGTATATGTAAAGTGCTGCGTAAATTGACAGCGCTATATAAGTACCTGAAAATAAAGAAGTGACTCATGTTAATAGCAGTGGAATGAAGCAGCAGACGGAGCACTTAGTGCTCTTTATTGAGACGCGTACACATTATAGAGGGATATGCTTTATTCATAGTTCATGTTTAGGTTTACAGCCATTTTAATATAATTTGGGCCCCTTGCTGATCCCTTTATCTCAAAAGATGCACCTTAAGGAATTCAAACCTTGAAATTACCTCATGGGGAGTAATTAAAATAGTTTCTCACAATGGGAACATGTTCAAAGAAAACATCAATGCTGCGACAAGTTCTAGAGGGGAAGAGCAAGCATTGGTGATAAATTCAGATCATGCCTGCAGTTTTGAGATTGTACAGATTGCCATAGTATAAACCTAGACATGCGCATGCAGAGTGTGTATGAAAATCTGTACCAATGCAGTAACTCCATCTTAAAAAAGTAGGCGAAACCACATATAATCACAGTTAAGTTGTGATCAACAAATACTAAAGCGAAAAAAAAAAATTTTGCCTTTGGGTATATTTTAAAGGTGGATAGAGTGGATTAGAACACCTGTCAGTTTTTATTGCTGTGTGCCCCCATAAGAGAGATCCATCCTTTCTATTAGTCCTGTTTTATTGTTCACACCGAAAGTAAAAGAAAATACCAAGTTATGGGTTGTCCCCAGAACAGGAATAGGGAGGAAATCTTCCAATTGGGACACTTTCTGTTGATAACCAGGGATACTCACTTTAGAGGGATTTTCTCACTTTCTGTTTTGGCTGTGGGACAGAAAGTGAAAGGAAATCTCCCCAATGGGATACAGAAGGCATCAATAATCCTTACAAGGGTTATAACAATCCTTTACTCTATCCAAAATGGGGAAAAAAGTTTGTCTTTAGTTCTACTTTAATTATAAAAAAGACTTTATATTCAAGGCTAATTTTACTTTATTATTCCACAGAATACTCAGGACTCTGATGCCTACTTGGAGGTATCTGCAAATCCAGATCCCGAGAAGCTGAAACCACCACAAAAACCTGAACTCAGATTGGCTCAAGTCCAAAATCCCAAAGGCATTGCCCTGTCATGGAATATCACTCATGCAGATCCTAGCTGTGCACCTGCTGAAGTCTATTGTCTCTATGTTCACCAAGAAAATACAAACAGCTCCAAAAAACTGTGGAAGAAGATTGGCGAAATTAAAGCATTGCCATTACCAATGGCTTGCACACTAACACAGTTTGTTGATGATGCAGCATATTCTTTTGTCTTGCGGGCTAAAGATGCCTCTGGACGTTTTGGACCACTTTGTGATATACAGTCAACTACTTTAAAGTCCCTAAACACCTCCAAAAAAACATAGCTTGCTACATTTTTATTGCTATTGTCCAGTTAAGTTTTCACTCACATTGAGTTCTACTGACTTTATTTTACAATGAAAATATTTTAATACTTTTTTTGTTATAGTTTTTTTTTTTTTGTGCTGTCTTGTGTTCTGTGTGGCAATATGCTGTTTTTTCGTATGAGTGTGACATTGTATTTAATTTACAGAGCCACCAGCATATTTTAATACTGAGCTTCTAGTTTTTTTCAGTATGTTGAGTGTTTACAATACTGATTTATATAGCATTTTTTAAAAATTTTATTAAGTATAATACATACAGTAGTTAAAGGGGGTTTTAAAGTGCAGAGACAATAAATCAAAGATTTAAGTCATTGAACAACTGTAGTGTATATCGTCTGGCAATTATGGAATTCTAGTCAGTATGCAGTATTTTTGAGCAAGTAATGAAATCGGTAAAAAAAAAAAAATAAGCAAGAAAAGGGAAAAAATCAAGGGCAGCAACAGTCTGGAGCATCAAATCCCACAACCACATAGCATGTGGCAAGTGTAGTTACGGCATGCTAGTACCCATCATACACATTCTGAAGGGGCACCAATTGTGTGCCAAGGTTAAGAAATAGGGTCTCTATTACAAAGCCTCTGTAAGTACCATTTGGTGTGGAAGCATTGATGTAGTTGCGTGGTTGTTCAGGGTGTTTTTAAAGCTTTCCCAGATCTGAAAGGAGCATTTTTCTTACTTTTTTTTTTTTTTTTTGTTCTCTCAATCCGCTTATTTTTAAATCTTTAAATTAAATTTTCTATCTTTTTTTTAACCCAGGGGGCTGAATGAGAGAAAAAAAAAAACTGAAGCGCTCAGGGGATTGTTGTACTAACTATCAGCTGTTAGAACACAATAGCTCAGCGGGGAGATCGCTGTACTGACAGCAGGGGGACTACCACCATTTCTCTTGCTTTCATTGACAGACATAGCACTTCTCATAGGGTTTATAGTACCACCTACAGGAGTTGTACACTAGGCTGAAAAAAACACAGCATCACCTGTGGTAAGTCCTAGCTAGCATAAACTCCCTCTCTGTTTATAGGCAAGCCAGTTATTTCTGGCTAGCGTTTTGGGAGTGAGGTTCTAGTTTCCTGCTGGGACCTGTGGTTCCATAGCTGTTTTTTTGGGTTTTTTTTCCCCCCCTTTTTACTGGGATTTTTCCTGAGGAGACAATCAATCAACATCGGAGTGGGGTGACTGGCTCAATAATCAAAATTCAGTGATCACCCTAGTCCGGTCAGCAAGCACATGCAGACCTTAGAGGCCCCCTCCCTTCCCCAGAAGTGGTATGGGGGAAAGTATTCCCTGGGGTGTTAAGTCCTGTAGGGTCCCCTCCCCCCAGCCTTTTTTGGGGGGCATTTCATCCCCTCCTTGCCCCTAGGTGTCCTAATTTTTGGTGGGGCCCTGCCTGAGCGGGTGGGTTGTATGGAGTCATAGTGCATGCGTCTCCTCCTTATCCTCTTATGGAGGTGGTGGGTGCCTCAGGGTCCTCTCTCTCTCCCTAGACTTGCTGTTGGAAGTCCTAGATTCATCTCCTGGTTGGAGGATATGCTTAGGGCAAGCAGGAAGCACCTTCTGTCTTCACCTGTGTCTTCAGATCTTTCTGAGCCGGAGCTGAGCTTTGCCACTGCAGGCTCTGCGTTTTTCTGTGGGCCCTGAAGATGTTTCCTCGAACAACAAGGTTGATGCCTCTGTAATTGCACAGGAGAAAGCACTGGTAACTGGACTGATTACTTCTGTGTGAGTGATGCTTGCAAATTAGGTCTGCTGGGGCAGCCAATGACGTGTTTTTCCCCTTTGGTAGGCACAAGCTGACTAGGTATGGTTAAAGTTTTTCCTTACCACCACATACTATGATAAGTTTATTTACAAAGATTGGGTATGGCTAAAGCGTCCTTTTGTGTTTCTGAAGTGCTTCACAGTATGTTACCCCTTTGAGGAGGGGGAACCTCGGCTCCTGTGTTGGATCCCCCTATTGTGAGGATAAATAAAGCAGCCATAAAACCTATCAGTTGCCCGGTTTAGGTTTCATATTGCAATGTCAGCATTGCGGCTTGTGTTGACCATAGCCCAGGTGTCTCAGACACTTACTGAATAGGCCAAGGTTCTGCGAAAAGTTTGTCCACTGGACAAGTGTATCCTGTGTGTGTGTGTGTGTGTGTGTGTGTGTGTGTGTGTGTGGAGGACCAGTTGATCCAGGGCCTGAAGTACATTTGTGATAAAAAGCTTGGAGGAGTAGAGCAGCATCCAAGAATGCGTCCTGATGGTGGTGCTTCAATGAGTGCTTTATGCTCAAATGCTGTTCTGCTGACCAGACTTCTAAAAAAGAACGTCTCTTCGATGCTACTTTGCAAGACCTCATCAAGAACTTCACCGAAGACAAGAGTATCTTCCTCCCACTGACTGAGGAAATTGAACCACATTGGAAGTCCTGGCCTTCCTTTCATGCCCACAAGAGGCTTTTTCATTACCTCTGACAAGGGCTTTAATCCCCCTTCCTGGTGGTGTCTGCAGCCATGGTGGACTTGTGCATCCAGGACCATTTGACAAGTCCTCTACAGTCTGAAGGTTTGCCCCACCCATTTCCAGGTTGGAGATCATCTATGCTGCTTTGCAGGCCACATGGACACCCCTCCTTCTAGGCAAGTGGGTCCATGAACTGGTTGTGTCTGGCTATAGGACAGAATTTTTTCTTCACCAGAAAAAATTATTTCCCTACAATCTTCAATTTCCACCATTTGTGCCTTCACGCCTTGTGCAGAGAGGTGCAGGATCTGCTGCTCCAGGGAGCGATAGTCTCTGTGCCCAAGTCGGAACAGTTCTGGGAGATTTTTACTCCAACCTGTTTATAGTTCCAAAAAAGGATGAGGTTTGTCTGCTTTTGAAACTCCCATGTCCTTGAACTGCTTTGTGCAGGTGTAGAAATTCAGGATGGAATCCATCCATTTGCTGGTGGCTTCTTTTCATCAAGAGGATTTTCGGGTGTACATAAATATCATGGATGCATACCTGCACTTTCCCATCTACGAGGGACATCAGGGAATAGTTTGCTCTGCAGTGGGGGGGATGCAAATTTGTTTTGTGGCGATCCCCTTTGAGTTGACCTTGGCTCCCCAGTCCTGGTGTTGCTGAGACAACGGGATTGCCATGACATGCTATCTGGATGACCTGTTAGTGCAGCCAGAAAAGTCTGCCTGCAAGGATGGATAATGTGGAGATCACAATGCGAGGGAGCTGGGTCTGGTGATCCCTGCAATGTTAAACGCATGCAAGTCTACCTTTCGGGAGATACGCATGTCATTGCACCTGGAAGACTTATATTGCCTGGTGCGATGCTCTGGGTGTCCAGCCTTGTTCCTCCTTTGGTGGTTTGGGTTTTGGCCTTTTCTCCAACAGGGAGCTGCACAACAGCTTGCCTTGAGTACCTATACAGGCAGGTTTCTACCCTTGCATCTTTTTTTCGGCTTCCCTTGGCCACATATTCCTTGATCCATACTTTGATCCAAGGGCTTTGTCATGTGGTGCCTCCTGTTTGTTCCCCGTTGCTGCTGCTGCAAGATTTGAATTTGGTTCTTTCGGTTCTCCAGAAGCCTCCCTTCTGAAGTATTTGGGGGTACTCCCCTGCTTACTTATTTTTTTTTTTTTTTTTTTTCCCAAAGTTTCCTTCCTAGTGGCTATCATTTCTGCATGGTGGGTGTTGGGCCTGGCTGCCTTATCCTGCAAGTTTCCCACTCCTTGCCATGCACAAGGATAAGGTAGTTTTCTGTACATGCCTTTCCTTTCCTCCACAGGTGAATTCTAGATTTTCACATTTTCTTGCCTTCCTAGAGTCCAGTCGTTTCATCCTAAGGAAGTTTCATTGCACTGCTTGGATGGGGTCTGGGCGGTTTGTGTGCCTGTCTGCTACAGTCTCCTTCCAATTGGTTGAATTGTCACAGATGGGCCAAAAAAGGCCTGATGGCCTCCTCTGCTCCTATTTCCTGTTGTATTCGGCAAGCAATTGTTCTGGCATAAGCCATTAAGGGTCAGGCTTCTCCCTTCCATGTTACAGTATGCTCCACCAGCTCCTCTTAGTGCCTCCTGGGCATTCCAACCGCTGTTGTCTGTCTTAGGTTTGCAAGGCATCTTCCTGGTCATCTGTGCCCGCTTTTAAGAGAAAAAAAAATGTTTACAAGTTGATGCATTTGCATCTTTGGATGCTTGTTTTGCCTGCAGGGTTTTTCAGGCTGCTGCTTTAGATTCCTTGTGTTTGGTTTATGTACGCCTTCTTGAACACTGCTTCGGGATGGCCCATGTTCAAGAATACAAAGAGCTGTGTCTTCAATGAATGTAAGAAAACAGAATCCCTTTCTCTGAGTTCATTGAGGGACACAGCAAATACCCCTATTTTTTGGGAATTTATTCTCCTGACACTGTTTTGTGATTAACAGGCTTGCTGATATCGGAGAGGAGATTTTTACTAGTTAATTCCGCCTATTGACAGTCCTATGTTCTTTTTCTGCCTAATGTCCTACAGCTGTAGGTGGTACTATAAAACATTGGTCTAGAATCGAGAGCTGTGTCTTCTTGAACTCAGAGAAAGGAATTGTATGGTAGGTAACAAATACCATAATTTTAATTGTATATTTTTGTCAGTTTATAAAATGCAAAGTGAGCGAACAGAAGAAAAATCTAAATCAAATTAATATATGGTGTTACTACAGTTTTGACGTCAAACCAATATCAATTCTCACACTTGCACGGAGTCAAGGATTTTGTAGGATTAGAGTCCGCTGTATGATTAACCAATTATACCAAGCAGGTGCCAATAATCATCAATATCATAGGTAGGTTAAAACACTGTCATTAATAGAAACAGCTGTGTTGTAGGCTTAAAGGAACAGCCAAACTCTGCTACTATTTTGAAGTTGCGTAAGAGGTTTGTTGCAGGTTCATACTCATAATACAGTTATCAACAAGATGTCTCTAAGAATAATAT